TTTGGTGTTGTGATTTGCAATATAAGTATTGAGTGCCCAGGCACGTTCTTCCCCTGTCTTAGCTGCAGTGTGACCTTTGGTATCCGAAGCCTTGCTCTTTCCATCTGTACAGTGGAACAACCACAGTGCTTTCCAAGGGCTACAACTAGAAGAATTCTGGACAACCTGGCATACCCTTGTCCAGTCAGCATCAGGGATGGGTCTTTGTGCTCCTCAGTAGCAGGGTTGGGGGCCTGAGTCCACACCCTCCTCCACTCTCTCCACCACCAAACCATCCTCCCCACAGAAGCATAGGCTGGAGCAGGGCTGGGTGCTGGCTTCTGGGTGGTTATACATGCCATCTGCCTGGTGCTGGGGATGGGCTGGAGAGTATCCTTCTCCCTGTTCACACACCTTCTCTCTTGCCATTCTGGAAATTTTTCATAAAATGTAAAGGTAAAGGTAAAGGCCCTCCCGTTGTTCGTCGATTTGCTCGAGCGGGCCCAGTAACGTCTCCATTGGAGACTTTGTTGTTACTGTGTCTGGCATATCGAATACTCTCGGTAGCTTGCCGGGCTCTCCGAGAGGGGCGGAGGAATCGAACTCGGGTCGGCCATGTTGGCCGCTTGTAAGGCAAACGCCCTACCGCTGTGCGATGGCTCAATGAGCTATTAAACAGGGGTCTCTAGAGAAAACCCTGCAAATCGAAGTAGATGCCAAGCCAGGGAGATCTGATCTTGAACCTGCGTCCCTGGAAACAGCTCCAAGCAGTCACACTCATCTTTCTCTTCTATCATAGTGCAAGAGCTACAGGGCCTGGGGCTTGATTCTGGTCTAGGGGTGGTGGGTTCTGCTGCAGACAGAGGTTCTTTCTGTCGTACCCCAAAGGTGCAAGGACAGTGGCAAAATCTGCAGACAAGGCCTGAAGGAACTGTCAGCAGAGCCCCAACAAAAGACACCAAAGGGACAATTCATCCATGAGTCCGTGAGTCTGCACTGGCTTTGTTCTAGGCACCAGCAAACCAGACTTTATAGACACGAAGCTTGGACCAGAGAGAGAGAACAGTGGGTGAGCACTTGCTCTGCATGCAGCAGATATGGATTCTGTTCCCAGCATTCCACACGGTCCATTAATCTGCCAAAAATGATCCACAAGCACAGAGGCAGGAGTAACCTATGAGCACCACCAGGTGTGGCCCCCAAACAAAACAAACAAAATAACTAGGACATAGGTTTAAATTCCAAGAGGAGAGAGAAAAAGTAAGACTCTGGTATTGTGACTCGGTGAAGTTCAAAACACAGTGGCCCTGAATATGCCACCTTGGCTTCTTGAGCTTTTGAAAAAAATGTTGAAATTACATTGCATTAGAAAATTTTATGAGTTTCATTTGTACATGGCTATACATCAACACCTGTATGTAGTAAACAAAGAGTACAGTGTTTCAGTTTTACAGTTCTAGCAGTAGAAATTCCCCACCCATTTTTACTGACATGATGTGGTTTACAACCGTTCTCATGTCATTGTTTTAATCAGTTAATCAATTTTGCTTTTTTTTTGGGTCACACCTGGCGATGCTCGGGGGTTCCTCCTGGCTCTGCACTCAGGAATCACTCCTGGCAGTGTTGGGGGACCATGTGGGATACCAAGGATCAAATCCAGGTTGTCAGAGTGGAAGCCGATGCCCTCCCCTCTCACCTGTCGCTCAGGCCTGTCATTGTCCTATACCTAGATGCCACCTGCGTCTGGACCCCACCATTCGCCATGTCCCTCTGAAGTGGGTCCGAAGACCCCAAGAGGGAAGGACCCTTCCAGGATCCCTGCCTTAAACTGCCAAAAATAACGAAGAAAAGCAAATCACATAGCTCTGGTGATTTCCATTCCACAGGACACTGGAGGCTCTGTAGGAAAGTTGGGATGCGAGGAACAGGTCTGTGAAGTTCCCTGCCGGCTTTAGGAAGGGACAACAGACACAGCGGAATGGGAAGAGCAGCACCCGGGGCTGCGGGGCCCGGGCCCATGCTTCTCCTTCAGAGTGAGGCCGAGGCTGCTCGTCCTCCTGCGGGCAGGTCGAATGTTTCAGGAGCGCAGGGGGACAGGGAGGTCCGGGATGCCTCTGTGTCTGTGTTCCTCTCAGAGCTCTATGTCAGGGTGCACACGTGTCCTGAAGCCTCCCACACTCATGTGCGAGTGACCATCCTCTGCCTGACAAAAGAAGCAGCCTTCCCTCTCGTGTTAATCCTTAACACTCAGGATTAACTTTGTGTGGGACTCCATTTCCTTAGGAAGCATCTTGGGTCATGTGAAAGGTCATTTCTTCCCAATGATCAGGTCTAAGGCACAGGGCTGTAGCCGGGGAGCCCTGAATTGGGAGCGACAGATTTCCTTCCTCCCCTCTGTTACTGGTGCTCACTTCTGTATCCTGCATGTTGGCATGGTGCTTCGTGCAGAGTAGCTGCTCATGAAAGCTTTAGCAGCCAAGATGCAAGAGAGAAGGAGACAGCATACAGGCATTTGGTGTAGACCCCTAAGAAAACTTCTGGATACTTTTAACAGTTTAGATGCTCATGGCACTCAGAGGTTATTAAATGTAACCTGGGATTGAGGGGAGGGGGAGCTTCCTTTTCCTCAACAGGCCCACCGGCGTCAACCTTCCTAGACAGAGCCATACCACAGCTCTGTGGATTGCAAGTCATGGCCACAGGTTTTTTTTTGTTTGTTTGTTTTTTGGTTTTTACAGCTTGTCTCTCTGCCCATCTTTAAAATCTAGGTTTGCTTATAGACTTGCTTATAGACTTACTTTGATTAGTAAAATGTCAAAGATCACATTGACTTGGTCCTGATGCCTGGGGCTTAGGAAATCTGTAACTTTCATTTTCACCACTGAGGAAAGTGACCACATTTATTTAAGGCAGCTCAGGCCAGACAGCCAGGCGGTGGGAGGCCTTGAGCAAGGCTGTGTGCGCATCCCAAGACTGCATGAGGAGGAATGACAGACTAAGGGTCCAGGGCAGCTACACCACTGACACCAGAGAAAAAAGCAGAAATTTTAGGATCACCTGGAGATAGACAGGGAGACTAGGATAAGTCAAAGATCTCTGCTAATTCCTCTTTTCTACTGCACAAAAGGTGAGTCAACTTTGGCAGGCTGGGAGGGATTGTGTTGGAGGGGATCAGAGAAGGAAGGCTGTGAATAGTCCGAGTGGGGGAGGGGTCCACCTGGGACTCAAGCAGTTCTCAGCAGCAGCTGGGTTCTTCTGGTGCTCATGGTCCTTCAGATAACCAGTGAGTCAGGTCAGCAGGATGGTTTGTTTTCCTCCATCCTCGTTCACTCGCTCAAGAGCAGTTCTAAACTAGGTGGAGTACTGGGGTCATTTCAGGTCAGAAGGAAGAGGGTGAGGAGGTTGGGAGTGTTTGGAAGAGGAGCTGATGCTGGGAAGCAACAGAAGCATCTAGAAGGAGGAAGAAGGGAAATGTAACTAAGAAGGGGGGGGACAGGAAAAGAGGGGAGGGATTTAGTGAAGATGATAAATTGGCACCAAGAAGGGCAAGCTAGGATAACAGAAGCTAAGTGCTTGGAATAGACACCAGGAAGCACAGTGCTTCGGGACTAATAACATCACTGGGCAAGATCCTAGGTGGCTGAGCAGGTGGAGCTTAGGCACCCAGAAGTTGCACATGCATTCAGGAATCAGCCACGGGGCGCTGAGACAGTGAAGAAGAGTGAGGGCTGAGGGAAACAGGCCACTACAACTAGGGCAAGAAAAATGTTTGCTCTAAGCAGAAGGATCAATGGAATGTGCAGGGCCAGACCTGAGAGTCAAAGCAAGAGCATCGTAAATGTCTTATCTCAGTGACTGTCCTGAAGGCCTTAGACTCAACAAGAAGGTAAAATTATGCCCAGGACTTTAAAAAAAAAAAGTGTGTTCGGGCAGATTGGAAAGATAGAACAGGGGTTAGGGCACTTGCCTTGCATGCAGGATGATCCCACTGGAATCCCAGGCACGACACACCATCCCCAGAGCTGAGAAGAGTCAGGAATAGGCCCAGAGCACCACCAAGTGTGCTCCCTTCCATGTCCCCCCAGATATGCCCATACCCCCCCCCCCATATGCCTGAGCTTAATAGCAAGATGAGAAGTATGTTCACTCACTCCCCAGCTAGAAAAGTAGGAAAGGGGTAACGCAAAGTACTCTTGGGGCATACAGCATCCTGCTTGCCTCTTTTTTTTTTTTTTGTCATTCCCTTTTAAATAAAGCTGCTTGGGTTCCATCAACCCAGACTAGTTTCTTACTTTAATCCCGATCCCGGAGCCCCAGAGTCAAAGAACCTGCCCACCACCAACAACTCACCCTGGATCACAATGGAACCAACCAAACAGTCCCGATTCCCACCCTTCTTTCAGAGCACTTAGCACAGTTCCTAAGCACTTAGCAGAGGGAGGATCTGATAGGAATTTGGGAAGAGGCTACTTTGCGCACTGATTGACCTACCACCTACCACCCTCGCGCCAAGGTTGCAAATGAAAGCTATTCTATGTGATCACTTGGAAAGCCAAGGACTCTTCACCGACGGGGGAAGCTGGCCCCAAAGAGTGTCACTTTGTCAGTCATTGTTCCATCGTACTCCAATGACTGTGACAGCTGCTCAGCGAATATTTATGGAAAGAAAGAGCAAGGGCCCTTCAGTACCCTCCGCGCCTGCGTCCCGAAGCCCGTATTCCCGCAGTATCCCCGCAGCAACCTCACAGCTGTCTCTCAACAGCCCCGCATCCCTGCAGCAGCCCCGCATGCCCGCAGCAGCCCCGCTGCTGCTCCACAGCAGTCCCGTAACACCCCCACAACAGTCCCGCAGCAGCCCCGCATCCCCTTAGCAGTCCCGCATCCCAGCAACAACCGGGCAGCCCCGCAGCAGCCCAGCAGCCCCGCCGCAGTCGGGAGCCGCCCCTCAGCGGGCGGGAGTAAGCCGAGCGCCCGCGCCTGCGCAGAGCTCTCCTCTACGACGCCTCCGGCGCAGCTTCGCGGATCCGGTTTGGGCCCCGCGGGCTGCCGTAGCGTCTCCTCCCGCGTCCCCGTACCGCCTCCGCCCGGCAGTCGCTGTCCAGATCGGGCCGGACGGCGGGATGGCGGCCCAGAAGATCAACGAGGCGCTGGAGCACATCGCCAAGGCGGAGAAGCAGTGAGTGCGCGGCCCGCCGTCCCGAGCTCGGGGCCGCCGTGGGCAGCCGCGTGTCCAGGCCCCGGGGGCCGAGGCAGCGGGCAGCTGACGGGGAGTGTACCGGGGCCGCGCGCGGCCCGCGGACGGGGTCGGCGGGGACTGGACGGGGCAATGGACGGGGTCGGCGGGGACTGGACGGGGCAGTGGAGCCCGCGCTGTCGCCCGGTGCCGGAAGTGGCCGGCCACCTCCCTGGCCGCCCTCTCCGCGCAGGGCCATGTCCACCATCCTGGGCCCTGGGCATGGCCTGCCTCCCCGTGTTCGGCCGGTTCCGGACGGCTGCAGCGCGCGCAGCCGTAGCCCCGGCAGCCGGGACCTGCCGGGCTCGAGCCCCTCGGGGACTTGTGCACGTAGGCGCTGGCTCGGTCCGCCCCCTCCGTGCCACCCGCGCAGTTGGAGCTGCCGGGCCCCCAGTACTGGCCCGGTGCGCGGCCCTCGCTCCCCGTTGCTCCGTGCTCCTCGGGGCTCTGCTCTGGGCGGCGGCGGCGGGTCAGACCCAGGTCTGGTGCCCGCCCGCGAGCCGTGTGGACCCCCTGCGCCGCGTCGCCGGCCCCTGGAGAGCGAGCGCCCGCCTGGGCCGGGTGTGAAGTGTCGCACCCTGGCCTGCCCCCCCACCCCCCCGGCTCGCCCTAGATGGATGGGCTCGTTCCCCGGGGAAGGAAACGGCGGCGCGCACGGCGGGCGTTTCTAAGACGTTGGGGACGAAGGGACCTCGGCGTTAGATGGGAATCCTGAGTTTTTGGTTTTGCGTTTCCTTGCTTTGAAGAGGGGCGGGGTGGGACCCTCGGCCACGTTCAGGGCGGGGGCTGAGCTCAAGTGTAACCCCGGGAGAGGTCCAGAGATTCAGAGCCAGGCAGCCGCGTGCGGGCCCCTCTTTCTCTCTCCCTGGACACTGGGCAGCGCAGAGGGTGGACGCGGGCAGAGAGCTTCCTGCCTACTCATTAAGCAAACGTTTACCAAATTGGCCTTCTCCACCTGAACCGGCCGCCGAGGAGATGAGAAACTCGAAGGGGGGCGGGGGTCCAGCCCCCTAGAGCTTAGAATTTACGGGGGCAGAAAGGTGCTGAGAAGATTCCGAGACCCAGCTGCGACTTGAGGTTTCCACCGAAGAGCCAACAGGCAGGTCGCTGTGACTCTAGCTGAGTCAGCTGAATTCGGAGTCACTTGGCACAGTCACCTGGGGATGGCGTTGGGTTGCACAGATGAAGGGCTTGTCCCATAGAGTCGCCCGCATCCTCCTCCTCCTCGGCCCCCAACCCGAGGACACTGGGAGCTCCTGTGGAGAGCTGCTTGATTGGTTTGCCAGAGGAGCCCCACAGACCGCCGGTAACAGGTTTAACAGTTTTTTTTTTGGAAAAGTTGATAAGGGAAACTCATGCATAGGTGTTTGCCATGGAAAAGCCCAGGCTCTTCGGGTCTTAAGGAGGTTCCTCAGGTATTACAGTCAGTCACTAGGTTTCCAGTTCCTCGCCCCTCTGTGACAGATCAGGGTCTGGGAGTGTGGAATATCGAGCTTCTAACAATAGGTTGGGCTTCTGATTACCCAATTCTGGAATCCACCCAGAGTCACCTTACAAAAAAAGAGGATGCGGGTAACTGTTCACTATATTTACAGCAGTGGGCTTTTTTTGCGGTGAATATAAATATTTTATTTTTTTCTTTTTTTGGGCCACACCCAGTGGTGCTCTGGAATACTCACCCCACAGTGCTCAGCAGTTGCTCTTGGCTGTGCTTGGGTGATCTTATAGTATATGAGCAAAACATGTCCTTAGTCTCTCTAGCTCGCTCACCAGCCCACACTTGAATATCTTACTACCATCTTAGGCACCTGGAACTAATGTTATACCAGTTACACCTCAGTAAAAAAGCAAAAAAAAAGAAAAAGAAAAAAAAAGGTCCTTCCTATGCTTATCACTTCAGAATTTCCAAACCTTATTGGAATTCTGTCAGAAATGCGGGGGCAGAGAACAGTTCATCCTTCAGCTTATCCCACAGGTATCAAATGTTAGAGGTATGTAATAGCTTCAGTGGCAACAGTTAGGAAAGAAAAGATGTTGTCCCTAAGGTAGGGGCAGTGGCCAAGAATAGAGCAGGAAGGCAGCTTTTTCATGCATGCTGTTGACTCACCTGGAGGTACTAGGTAACGTTTGTCACATAGAATTGGCAGATTTTAATGAAATGACTACATCTGAAAGGAAGTCAGATTTCCTAGGTTGATGTGGGGGGCGGTGTGGAAGGAAAGACAGTTCGCCCAGAATGAGGAGAGGTTAATGACAATACACATGTAGGCAGGTAGATCTCTGCACGTGGGGGATTAGTGACAGCAGGTGGGTTAGACTCGGCCTTTGCACATATGGGATTAATGCCACTGCACTTGTAGACAGGTTAGACTCCGGCCTTTACACAGAGCTGTGAATTGATGGCAAGTAGAATGAGCCAGGGGCTTAGGAAAGTTACTTTTTTCCCCCTTTTTCTCCATGTAATAATGATGATGTGAGTAGGGTTGGAGCAATAGTACAGTGGACTGGGTGCTTCTCCTGTACTCGGCCGACCTGTATTTAATCCATGGCACCCCACCTGGTCCCCATAGCATAACCAGAGTGATTCCTGAGTGCAGATCCAGGAATATCTCCTGAGCATCACCCGTAGCCCAAAAACAAGACAAAAAAAGATAGTCTGAGTGTTTTCTAGTCATAATTATAATGAATCTCAAACAGATGGTGGTTTTGTCTTGTGGCCCTGTGGAAACAGCGGCCCCTGCTGGCCTAGGCAGAATTTCCTTTGACTTGACAAAACTAGCTGGAAGTACTAGGGGGCGGAGCTAGTGAGCCTTGGAGTGAGAGCACCTTTTCTCTTACAAAGCACAGAGGCTGAGTTCCCAGGGACGTTGTGTTGTATTTTAAAATCTCTCTCCTGCCACGTGTGGTAACTACACAATTGAGTGAGATATTCTTTTGGTTTGGACGGAAATTTTAAATTTATGTTAATTATACAGAATATAAGTGAGTACTTTGAAGTAAGGGGGGATGAAATTAAAATTTTGCTTTATAGTGTACTTTCTATGTTTTATAGATAAGAAAAGCCTGAAGTTTAAAGGTTGTTATTTTTTCTAAACCATAAGATTCCTTGTAAAATTTCTCAGGCAATCCCTTACTGATTTGAATCTGTAGCAATATCGTTACTAAACTTAATTGGCAAAGAAATGTCCCTTAAAATTAAAGACTTCTGGGTGATTGATAAAGCTGTCGGCAAATAAAGGTATAATCTGATGTTGCTGGTGGAGGTGAGGGTTTCTAATCTGAAGCCCTCCTCTGACACTGAGTGTTGCATGTACATGGGTTCTCACTAAATTGAAATTTAGAATTTAAGGTGATCTTTGATAGTCTACAGGCATATCCAAACTTGACAGTACTTGAATTAGTTTAAACTGTTACATCTGGATTTGCTTTTAAGAAAATCACAGAAAAAAGCAAGTAAGAGGAGATATTCACATGATTCTCCTTGAGTTTGCTCTCTTGGCTGACATGGTGAGGTTTTCAGAATTTTCTTACCTTTCTGTTTACTGGGCGCTAATTCATAGCTCTTTTTGAGGGGGGTGGGCACGTCCAGCGATGCTCAGGGGTTATTCCTGGCTGTGCACTCACGGATCACTCCTGATGGTGCTGGGGGCACCGTCTGGAGTGCTGGAGATCAAACCTGTGTTGGCCACGTGTAAGGCAAACATCCTCCCTGCTGCACGTCTCCCTAGCCCCTTCGTAGTCCTTCCTCTGCCTGTGTGCATTCTATTCTCTTTCTGCTTCTTTCTGCGGACTCCAAGGAGCAGATCTCTGCCTTCCTGAGTAACTCTTGGGAATCTAGCTGCGTATTGGATTCTGTGCTTCAGAGGGGCACAAGCCTTGAAGGGACTTGACTTAGTGGCCCTCAAGTCTTGGTAAAATGGGTCACTGCTCCGCCACTGTGTCTGGTTCTGGGGCTCTGGGCAGCGGCTGCTTCTCTGGCCTGTGCTCTGTCTGTCACACAGATATTCAGAGGAAATGCTCACCACAGGGAAGGTTGTGGGGCCTGGAGATCCTTCTAAGGTGGGCTGGGGGGTGGGGGAGGAGCAGACTTTGGGGCTGGTGACTCCATCCTGCTCCCCCATTGTTTCCCAGTGACTTGAAGGCCGGGCACTGACTTACACGTGGGTGGTAACATCTGTTAAATGTCTTTTCATTTCAGTCTGAAAACGGGGTTTTTCAAATGGAAGCCGGATTATGACAGTGCTGCTTCTGAGTACGGGAAAGCAGGTAGGTACCACCCTGGCTGCCCTCACTCCTGCCTGCACCATTGCAGCGTTGCTGTGCTCCCAAGTCAGACTCGGGAGTGGGACTGTTTGTTTCTAGAACCTGCCCATCTCCCGCCATTTCGCAGTTATTATTTATCTATGGGGCTGGGGTCGGGGGTCGGGAGCAGCACCCAGCATGCTCAGAGTTTCCCCCGGCTCTGTGTTCAGGGATCACTCCCCGTGGGGGCTCAGGGGACCTGTGTGTGCCAGGATAGAGTGGGTCAGCATTTGCAGGACTAGTGCTCTGGCCGCTGGACTGTCTCTCGGGCCCTGTCAACACATTATTTTTAAATGTCTTGAGGATTGGCACAGTGATGCGCTCCCTCTCTCTCCCTCTCTCCCCCTCTCCCTCCCTCTCCCTCTCCATCCTTCTCTTTCTCCCCTCTCTCCCAGTCTCTCCCTCTCTCTCTTTCTCTCCCTCTCTTTCTCTCTCTTTCCATCTCTCTTCCCCCTTTCCCTCTTTCTCCTCTCTCCCTCCCTCTCTCTTCCTTTTTCCCTCCCTTTCGCTCCCTTTCACTCTCTCCCTATCTCCCCCCCCTCTCCTTCTTCCTCACTCTCTTCTTTTCCCTCCCTCTCTAGAGTGGCAGAGGGAGGGTGTGCAGCTCCAGTCTTAACATCATCTGCATATTTGTTTTACGCTTTTTATTGTTATTTTTGTGCCACACCTGGTGGTGCTCAATGCTTATTCCTTGCTCTGCACTCAGAGATTATTCCTGGCAGGCTCAGGGGACTGTGTGGGGTGCCAGGGACTGGATCCAAGCCTGCCATGTGTCAGCAAGTGCCGTACCCCTGTCCTACTCGTCAGGCCCTGCTTCATCAATAACCATAATATACTCTTGTTCTAATTAGATCTGAAAACTGTTTGGGACATATTGAATGAGCTTCGCTGCTAAACATTCATGAAGGGCGAAACCCCCTGTAAGCTCATATTTTGGGACCACTCCTAATCCTTTTGATCTGATGCAACACTTTTACAACAGCAATATATTTCAGTTCTTTGGACACTTCTGTTTTGTTGTTGTTTGTTTGCTTTTTGGACCACACCCAGCTGTGCTCAGGGCTTCCTCCTGGCTCTGTGCTCAGGGATCACTCAGTCAGGGCTCGGGGGATCATAATGCTGTGCTAGAGATCAAAGCCAGGAACCAAGTTTGCCGTGTGCAGGTCACAAGCCCACCTAACTGTAACATCACTCCAGCCCACTTTGGAGATTTCAGTCTTCTAAAAAGTTGGATTCAAATGTTAATTTTTTAGACACTTGTCAAAGAGTGTACTTTTATGAAAGGAGAGCTTATTACAAAAATACTTAATGTGTTAATGTAATTCAAAATAAAGTAAAAGATGAAACAATGTATAAATGAAACATCATTTTCATTTCTCAGTTGTAAACTGGAGGGATAAGGTTCTGTGTGCCAGTTTCTTCATTTTGAGAACAATGGCTCGACTGATGAGATTTTAGCTTCTAGAAGCTTAGATATTAATGTTAGGAAGACAGAAAATAGCATAGGATGTATGTCATCTACAATTTATTAAGAATGCCCTTGGAAATACATTTAATTCAGTGATGCACAAAACCTGGGAATATTGCTGTAGAAAAAAGGTACTGTTTTATGGTTTAATTTTGATGGTTTTCTAGGTGATTAAAATGTTTTTTTTTATAATACCTCAAAACAATGCGTGTTATTACAATGATTCATTTGATTTTTTTTTTAAGTGATGGAAATAGTATTTTTGTTTGTTTTTGTGTCGTTTCAGCTGTTGCTTTCAAAAATGCCAAACAGTTCGACCAGGCGAAAGATGCCTGCCTCAGGGAGGCCGCAGCCCATGAGAATAACAGGGCGTATCTTTTTCACCCTCTACAAAGGACTCAGCAATTCAGTTATTTTGTTAGAAAATTATTGTTTACCTACACATTTGCTACAGGTAGAAACAGTGTTACTAAAAAGCAGTTAAGTGGGTTTTGTTTGTTTGTTTGTTTGCTTGTTTTGGTGAAGCAAGGTAGCTTTTAGTTGAATGGAACTTGCTTAGAAAGGTGTGAGAGCAGAGAAAGCCCAGGAGAACAGGGCTTCTCTAGAGTGGAAATGAGCAAGCAGAGAAACAGAGGACGGAGCTGGACCCCGGGAGGAGCTGGAACCCGGGAAGGGAGAACCAAGGCTGGAGGAGTGACTGAATGAAGGAACAGTTACAAAGATTAATGGTAAAATCTTTACCATTCTGTAGAGCTGCATTTGAAATTTGATTTTGTGTATATTTAATTGATCATTTTTCTTGGGGTGAATCAGGAGAAATCTCAAAATAGTCCCCGAGTGAAGAAGTAGCATGGGTATTAGATATGTATAAGCTGCTCCGAGGATTTTATTTATTTATTTGCTTTTTTGGGTCACACCCAACGATGCACAGCGGTTACTCCTGGCTCTGCACTCATAGTTACTCCTGGTGGTGCTCAGGGGACCATATGGGATGCTGGGAATTGAACCTGGGTCGGCCATGTCCAAGGCAAACACCCTACCCGCTGTGCTGTCTCTCCAGCCCCCATGCTTCGAGGATTTTAACAGTAGAATCTTCCCTGTGTTTGAACTAAGAGTTACGTGGTGTAGAGTAATATGTTTTCAATCTTGCATGTTAGTAAAATCTGCAGATGATCAAAAGTTTTTAAAATGACGTTTTATCTGTGTGAATTATGCCATTTGAAGACACTATTTTTTTCAGAAGCATTCTGTTGTTTCTGGCGCTCACATTGGCGTCACTGACACTGACATGGGGTGGTGAAGACTCCCATAATCCACAGATCATGAGGCATTCCTAAGAGATTCATTTATTCTTTACCTGTGTGTAGAATTTTGGTACCAAGCAAAACAGGAATTTTAACATTGTCTTTGAAATAAAAAATCTTTAGAAACTGCCGATTTGCTTTTTTTTTTCCTTGATTTTAACTTTGTTACATCCATCCAGCCTTTTCCATGCTGCCAAGTAAGTAAACATTTATCTTTTATATTTTCAATGTTACTGTTTTTTTAATAGGTCAATGATTTTTTTCTGTTATTAACTGATAGTATTAATTTGTATCTATTTTAATAAAAGTCATTTGTGTTTGTATCTGTCTTCCTCTGAATCCTAAAAACTCAAGATACACAGGTTTCAATGACTGTTATCTTACTTTTAGGGTTATTGTGTTCAGTAACTATTAAAGAAGAAAACAAGTTAGATTTTGATTGAAATACCTTTTCTTATCTGAGATCTGATGTTTCTCTTTTCACTTACTTTATGAATATTTCATCCAAGAAATTATTTTCTCTTTGCAGAGCTTACGAGCAAGCTGGCATGATGTTAAAGGTAATATGTCACAACTATTTTAAAGGTAAAATAAATAATGTACAAGGCATTAGAGTACGTCTATGTTGAGGTTGAAAATCCTCCTTGATGTAAGGCAGGAGAGTCTTCCATGAGATTTCTCTCTTGAAGTATGCTAATTGAAGCTGTGGGTACTCTTGTCATGTTCTGAAGAAAGGGAGTTTAGAAGTGAGAATTAATAAGAGTGTATTCATTCGAAGGGATTCTGGAGGTTCTAAGCTGGTTACCAGGACAGGGTATCTCTAAGCAGAGAGCCTTTTGGGAGATCTTAATAAAAGATTGCAAGTCAGTATTTTTTCACTACTAAGTATTTCAAAAAAGAAAAGATTTTGACTTCTGTTTTTGACTTTTATCCTTTGGCCTGAGAATCTTAGATTCTTGATTTTCTCTAATTGACTCTTTCTGATGAAAATATTTTAACTAATTGCCTGTGCTCCTCTGATCACTTAAAATCAGGTTGGGAATTCATATCCTGTTGTGGTGAGATGGAGCATCTCACTTTAAGACACTCACTCTCAATACGCTGAACGGCACTTGAAATAAAACATTTTCCTTTCCATTTTTATGTTCTTTAATCTGGTAAAAAGATCTTTTGAATTATTTATTATGTAGAGTTGCTTTAACAACTTACATCTTAGTAAAACTTTTTTGTTTTTAACTTCTGTGATATATAATTGTAACTCAGATTTTTTAATAGTGAATACTCATTGTAGTACATTCAAGAACTGGAAAGATTAAAGAATATTAGTAGTAGCAGGTAAAGATACCTGGCTTTTTCCTTTCAGCTAATTTTCTAATCACAGGCATCTTCATTTGCATTCATATATAGACACCACTGAGATAATGCTCTCCAAACTTTTACATCTTAATGTTAAATGTTAAGACACTTGAGATCTTTGTGAAGATTTTTCTAGTGTCATTCATAAAAACCTTATGTTTATTAAGATCTTGAAATTCTAATTCTGTGAAAGCCTATAAAGTCAGTTCTCCTGAATCTTAAAGGAATGCCTGGTGGGGTCAGGCATGAGTATGTGTTTTGCTGCATTGTTTAGTCTGAGCCTGTGATGGTGAGAAAATGTTTAAATTACAATTTTTAGATTTCAGCTGTTTATAGAGCCATTGTCCTGGAGCTTTTCTGGCTGAAATTTGCAACCAAATTGATACTTGGTGATGCAAATCAGAATAGTGGCATCAATTCCTTAGGATCTTAGCAGATAAAATTTCTTTTATAGTGGAAGAACAAGCTGCCTGCCCTGTGCTTCTCCTGCATTCTGCATTTCCCCCTGAGACCTAAGACACTCCCAGCTGGGTCTTTCTGTCCTTTGTCAGGGAGCTTTTCTGTCTCAGAAGTTTTTCTGCAGCCAGTTTGATAATGCTGCCCCGTGTGCCATTATTAGCTTATGCTATCTTTCTATAGAGATGTAAGGGCACAAGAACCTCCCAGCCCCAGTTAATATTCTGATGTGTTTGTTGCTTATTCACCCCCCTCCCTTTGTTGTGGTGCTTGTTCTTCTCTGACCTATAGGAAATGCTGCACATTTGGGTGCACTTCGCCTTGGTGTCTGCCTGGGGTTGCACACTTCAGTTATAGAGCTTGCCAGTGATTGAAAATTCGGTCATAGTGCTTGCAGATCTAGTCATGTGATCACTGGGGATTGTGATGTACACACAGGATTGCATGGGCGATCACACACTCTAGGAGGTGCAGATCACACACAGCCGTGCTGCTGGGATCACGCCTGGCTAGTGGGCTGGTGCTGGGCATTAAATATGTCCTGTAAGACCGGGCAGTACCATCCTGGACCCCTGCTTTTGTGAATGTTCTAAGAAGGATGCTAAGATGTAATATGGACTTGAGTCTTCATTCTAGTGTCCATTTAATTTGAGAATTTGAAAGTCGTTGTTTTGAATAATGGAGTTGCATAGGGAAAGACACAGGAGGAAATGCTTGCTGGCCTATTCTTGTCTGTGAAGTAAATGCTGTTGGACATCCTCAGCTGAAGTAGGGTCCCGAGGTCTTTGGCATACCATTCATTCAGTGAGCTCACATTCCCAATTTCTCATCCAAATCTTGACATTCTCCCCCCAATCCCAGCTGGACTTCAGAGGAGATGGTCAGTAGTGCTGGTGTGGGAAGGATGCGGGACCTCTTGGCATGCCCTTTGGTACTGCCAATTTACAGTGGTTTGATTTCATATCCTACGTGGTCCACAGAAATTGTAAGTTAATTGAGGCACACAGATCACTGAAAATAAGCAATTTTCTTCAGGATAGTGCCATGCTGGAAGAATATGAGGAGAGTTCTAGAGAGCATATTTTTTCATAGCCAGCCCACCATTTTTGATGGGGAGGCATCAGCCTTAGTCCTTGATACATTTGATATGTTGCAGTAGCAGTGAGATGTAGTTACGGCTTTTTTATAAATGTGTCTTAGATGGTACTTATACTGCTTTCTCTTGTCCTGCGCTATATGTCTTGTTCAGGAGGGCAAAACTTGTAAAGTTTCACTTCGTATGTTATGTTTCTTTTTATTCTCTGACATATTTTCATATTGAAGGTGCTAGGGGTATATTTGCTTTATCAGTGGGAAAGTGGACTGGGGCGGGGTGGAGAAATCATCTTTACAGAGTGAGCCTAGACCTAAAGCCAGTGAACTGCCTTTTATTAGATTTAGATTCCCCTTTATCCTTCAACATAAACTCTAGATTCTTGATTCTTTTTTGGACCATTGGTTTCTACCCAAAAGGGTAGAAATTACCCTTTATTCTTCACTAGGGTTTGAAATTATATTCTGCCTGCCACAATATAGCCATGCCTGCCAGAAAACTTTACATGTTGATGTGTCTGTATATTTGAAGATACACACTCAGGTGGTCTTCTACTGAGCTACTTAGGTGTTAAATGATACAGCACTTTGGTTGTTAAAAATAGTCTTGGCTTGGATATATTAAACTCTTCGGATATTACTAAGAGTTATGGTAGGGTAGGTAGTTATTTTGTTTTTCTGGTGGCACTCAGCATAGACATTAACATCTGAATGGAGAGAAAGGACAGGCCTAGGTGTGTGGGGCAGCAGGTAGTAGGGAGAAATTTGGCCACTTCTGGGAGATGGCATGTCCAGTCTGTGGGTACCCAGCGGCAGCCCAGCCTTAGCCCACTGCCAGTCAGCTTCTGATGCATTTGCATAGTTGGAAGTCATGAGCAGAACCTTCCCGAGTGCACCTGACTTAAGTGCTAATGATTTGAGCAAAAGGCCCTTGGAAAGGAGATACGGCCCTGGGACTGCCTACTAATGTCCCATCATCTTGTATTTCTGAACTGATTAATTTATGGCTCCATTCTGACTCCTTTGGCTGAAGGAGATGCAGAAGCTGCCCGAGGCTGTCCAGCTGATCGAGAAAGCCAGCATGATGTACCTGGAGAACGGCACCCCGGACACGGCCGCCATGGCCTTGGAGCGAGCAGGAAAGTGAGTGGGGGGTTCCTGCCCATGCACAGTCTTGTCCTACCCTCAGTAAAGCCCTCTAGAAAATAAAGGTTTTTTCCTTCCTCAAAGAAGTCTTGTTTTGTTGCCCTTTTCTATAGGCTTATTGAAAATGTAGATCCAGAAAAGGCCGTACAGTTATATCAACAGACAGCTAATGTGTTTGAGGTAAGTTTGACTTTTTTTTTCCCTTTAAATAGATAAAAGATTCAAACTCAGTATGTACAGGAAAACAGAAGAGCAGAGATGACTTGAAAAAATATTCAACTGAGCTCTGTTCCTCTGTTCCCTTGTAACCAAAGAGTATTGAGACAGATTGGCAGTCACGTGTTTCTCCCCCAATCCTGCCAAGTTCTATTACTTTTCTGTCCAATATTGGCGGGAAGCAGGTGAGCATGAAGGTCTCGACATGAAAGCAGCCAAGACTTCTGTATCTTTTTTGAACTCCTTCAGAATGAGGAACGCTTACGACAGGCAGTTGAATTGCTGGGAAAAGCCTCCAGACTCTTGGTCCGAGGACGCAGGTGAGTGTCCTAGCTGTTCTCCCTGTCTAGTGTGCCCTTGGCTCACATTTGGGAATGTACTAGGCTACCAGTAGAAGAAATATTGATGTTTGCTAGATGGCACATTGAATTAAATTTTAAAAGATCTTTATTCTTTCTGCTGTTATACCAAGACTGATCATCCATTTTGCTTGATTGGTTAAGGCCTGGCTCAGCAGTCTGAGAGAAAACTGTTTCCTTTTTCTTTTTTCTTATGTTTACTCTTTATTTCCCTTCCCTCCTGATCTCTTTCCTCTTTGCACAGCCTTAGTTCAATGCCCATGGTTTATCTTTCTGTTCCATCTCATTCATTAATTTGTAGCCTTAAACTGCACACATAGGTAAAATCATCCAATACTTATCTTTTGTCTTCTGAGTTCTAAGATTCAAGACATTCAATTATCACATTAGTTATATCAATTATAATTCCATCATTAAGAATTTTCCCACTCATTGGTATGGCTTCCTGGTGGGACTTTGTTCTATGTTTAGAGAAAAGATGAGGCAGTTGAGCAAACACACCATCTGGTGCAGTTGACTCTGTGAACTCAAATCCAGGCCCCTTCCCTGAGCCTTGTGTGACTCCCAGCAAGGAGGAATCCCGTTTCTATTCACTGACCCACTTCCAAGACCCACTTAGCACAGAAGAATACAATACTTCTCATCATTGGCCAAGACGGTCACTAGAATCTAGACAAAGGACAACTTGGGGGTGGGGGAAGAGGGGCGAGGACAGCTCCGGGGTTGAGAGGTTATTAGTTACAAATAATTGGTTCCTATCTGTGGGAACTGTTCCAGACCCTGTGACGCCATTAGTAACCAAAGAAGCAGGATCATCAGGAATGGTAGAAAGCTGGAATCTGGTGACTCATCTGGAAAGTTGTGCAGGTGGTTAATATGTTCTCCAGTCCAGGAGTTCTGAGAAGGTACCCACTGAGACCTGGTGTGGGTGGACCCTGGGGCAGTGTTCGTCCGTCAGGCACATCTTTTCCTGAGAGCCCTGTGTTTTATTTTATCTTATAGTTAATAGAAGACTCAATTCCAAGAATCATCTCCATTTTGTTGAAATAATCAATGAAAAATTTCTCATCTATGTTTGGAGTTGGCTTCATATGCCAAATTAAATAATTTTTTTTAATTACAAGCTATATAAACATACAAGGTGGTTTTTCCTTGGTGGCTAGAGCACAATAAAAAGATATTTTTAGGGGGCAGAGTGATAATATATCAGGTCAGGCACTTGCCTTGTATGTGGTTCACCCACGTTTGATCCTCAGCACCATGTGTGGGCCCCTGAGCCCACCAGGAGTGACCCCTGAGTGAGAGCTAGGAGTGAGCCTGAGCACTGCTCGGTGTGGCCTAAGAATACAGAAGGCAGAACCCTGATAGTCCGTGAAAAGTTCCAAATACTGAGCTCTTTCCTAGTGATGCAATACGGACATTTATAAATATGTCATGGAATATTTTATGGTACTTCTTTAATGAAACAGAACCTGTGATAAGCTTAGTGGCCAATTACCAGTGATACAGATACAGATAAACCCCTCCGCCCTCACCTGCTCAACAAATAACCACAAACGTGGCAGCTTCAAAGATCTCACTTCTTGGTCTGAGTTAGAATTCCAGCCCGGGAAGCTGGGGTCTGTGTCGGGAATGTGGGCGCCCTAGGCATCCAGCTCCTGGTGGTTGCAGCAGTCCTGTGTGCTTTCTTGCCAGGGGCTGCGGCCTTGGTGGTCTGTGCTGGGTAGTTGGCTGCTTACCAAACCTTGGCATTTCTGATCTCTGCCCTTTCTTGGACACTCCGATTTCACTCAGTCTGTTGGTTAGTGTTCTGCTCACGGACTTGCAGCCCATCATTCAGAATCTGGCCTCATGTTGAAGTGGAGATGATGCCTGGAGTGCAGAGCAAGAATCCTGGGTGGGGGCAGGGCGTGATCTGTGCCTCATTTACACTTTCCCTCTGAAAATGTAGAATACATTTCTCCAGTCATGTTATGAGGGAGCCGATCGCCTGAGTGCAGCCTGACAAATCTGTTTAGTTTGCAGTGTGAATTTCTAAAAAATAATTGCTAACATGCTGAAAATATAATGTCTAAAATCTGTCAGTTTGAGTCATGTTAAAGCCTCGTCTGTGTCCTAACAATGCGGACTGCTGGTTCAGTTTTTGACTGAGAGGATAAGAGAAATGGATGAAGGCTGCTAAGTCCATCACCTCTTGAGCTAGGTGCTAATGAAGGAATTATGGAGTTTTCACCACATTGCAACACTTGAGGGAAATGAGAATCAGCTTAGGGAAGACGAGATTAGAGCTGGGGAGGAGCTAGAGGGGAAAGCCTTTGAGAATTTGAGGGAGTGTTTTTGCGATCCCTTGAGCAGGATTGAAGGAAAGGCCTGTGTGAGAGGAGGAGGAAGGTGACTTTGAGGATGGGAGGTGGTGGAAGGGCCTATGACTCCACCTGCCTGCCCTTCCCCAGCCGGGGAGCTGCTGGGGCTTGTGGAGGCAACCAGGAGTGGGTGGCTTCGTTTATCAGCAGGGAGCATCTGGGGGCCTTTCCATGGAAGATTAAATGGAGGATGGTCTCTGCTGACATTGCACAAACATTCCCAGAGCATTTATTGCATTTGAAAGGCACTGAGGGGTGCTTCTTTCCCAAGCTCGAACTCTCCATTGACCTGTGTCAACTTTTCTTCTTTTTTCTTAAGTTTATCTGTCTACTTACTACCTTAAAAGGGTCATTGGAACATTTAAAAGACAAGTCAGATGAGCATTTGCCACTGTCTTAAATTCTTAAACACTGATGATCTCAAATACTTCACAAAAGTAATCTCTGCTGTAGGTCATTTAAACCTGAGTTATGTCTCTTTGTTTTGTCCTTAGGTTTGATGAGGCAGCACTGTCTATACAGAAAGAAAAAAATATCTATAAGGAAATTGAGAACTACGCTACTTGTTATAAGGTATGCTTTGAAAGTGCTCATTTCTCGGCCTTCCAGTAGATAATTTTTCATGTAGGTCTAACTGTGCTTCAGACTGGCTTTCATTAATATTGCATACAATATCTTAAAATGATACTTGCTAGGTGGCTGAAGAGATAATGTAGTGGGTAGGGAGCTTGCCTTGCATGTGGCTGACCTGGGTTCAATTACTGGCTTCCTCTATGGTCTCTCAAACCTGCCAGGAGTGATTCCTAAGCACAGAGCCAGGAATAAGCCAGGAGTAAGCATCCCTGGATGTGGCCAGATAAATAAATAAATAAATAAATAGATAGATAATGATCCCTGTACCTTTCATTTTAGGAACAAAGCACTGTAGCCTGTCTTCCTGCTCATTACAGCTAAGACTTCCACAGGACAAATGCAGCCGCAGCTGCTTACACAGATGCCAGCAGGGCTGTGGAGGCGAGGAAGGCACCGGCACGCCGGCTTGCCAGAGTGTTTCCTGTCTCTTCTTGCAGCGTTGCTTGCACAAAGCACATTGTTGCTTTCTGTTTGTTCAGTTGGTTTGGGGGCTGTGCCTGGCTGAGGATGCACAGGACTCATTCCTGGCGCTGCTCAGCACGTGAGCCCACAGCGGCCCTCACGGAACCCTGCTGGCCTTTTCTTTTTTTTCTTTTTTTTTTTTTGGCTTTTTGGGTTATACCTGGCAATGCTCAGGGGTTGCTCCTAGCTCTGTACTCAGGAATTACTTCTGGGGGTGCTCAGGGGGCCATATGGGATGCCAGAGATCGAACCCGGGTTGGCCGTGTGCAAGGCAAACACCCTACCCACTGTACTATCGCTCAGGCCCCAGACCTCATCTTTCTAACCAGGCAAGCTAAGAAACCTCTTGTGTGTGTGTGTGTGTGTGTGTGTGTGTGTGTGTGTGTGTGTGTGTGCTTTTTGTGTCACACCCAGCGATGCACAGGGGTTACTCCTGGCTGATGCACTCAGGAATTACTCCTGGCAGTGCTCAGGGGACCATATGGGATGCTGGGAATCGAACCCAGGTCGGCTGTGTGCAAGGCAAACGCCCTATCCACTGTGCTATCGCTCCAGCCCGAAACCTCTTTGGTTTTGGGGTGTTTTTTTTTTTTTTTCATTTTCCATGACTTTGCTCTGAGTGAGCCTTAAATGATTCATAGAGCAGAAGTTGTGATGGTGGCTTGTTCTGGCAGAGTACCAAAAGTGACTTGAGTCAAGTTAAGACCACAAGGAGAGAGGACAAGGGACTCCCCTGGGAATGGCTCTAGGCCTTCACATGCCTTGGGTTCCCCTCCACTGTGCCTTGTGCGGGGCACACCCAGAAAATCTGGGCAAAGACCTTATAGACTAAACTGAGAAAAAAAGCACTGCTCAGAGCATAGTCTCTCTCAGACACAGTGCGGGGCAGGGCAGGGCAGGACTGGACTCGGGCTGAGCACGTGGGGTGGGTGACAACAGATCCCTGCAGCACTCTCAGTGTAGGGTGCGACTCAAATGCCTCAACAGAGGGAACCAGCGGAGCATAGCCAGTCTTGTGAGGAAACTGCTGATGCCAGCATGAGGTGACCAAGATGCTGGAATGACCAGATCTGGACTTGGACGCTAGACTCACTGTTCCATGAGATGCCAGTTTCTGAATAACTGCCCATCAGCTCAGATGGTTCCTCTGTAAGCATGATGTGCCTGGTCACTGTCCTGCCCTGCCTGTGAGGAAGAGTCCATCAGTGAGGTTGTGGATCACACATAGAATATGAGCCATGGTGGACCGCGTCTCTACTTTGGTGTTGTTCTTTTGCAGGACCTTTGTGAGTCTCTGCTGTGGCTCAGAGTCTCATGGTATCATAACAATGTCAGTCCTTCAGCACATTTATAAGGACAGATACAGAGAAAGCTGAAAGGAATGGGCAAAAGGACTGATTTTAAAAAAGTAGTAAAAGTAAAATTGTCTAGAAAATACTTACTAGAACTATAGAAATGAGCTGAATAAAAACTTTAGAACTAAAACATTGAGTACTTGAAATAAAATATTGAGTGACTTAATCTGATAATGAAATGAGGAATGGCAGAATTTATAGAGCAATACATTATATGAAAACTACATTTTTGTATCTGAAAGATTAAAGAATACTTTAAGGGCTCTCTGGTAGTAAACTTCAGAGCTTATTGCTAATTTTGTTGATTTATAAATAGGATCATTAGCTAAAGTTTCCATTCCTACATCCTTTTCTTGGTATCTCTTTTAAAGATTTCAAAGTAATTATAGACTTATAACTGTAGGGTTAGATGGGTTTATGTCCTCTTTTTTATTCCCTTTTTCAAAATTATATATGTAGTTTGGGGGTTTGGGCTTATTTTGGGGGTGAGTGCCATACACAGTGGTGCTCAGGGCTTACTCCTACCTGTGTGCTCAGGGTCAGCCCTGGTGGGCACATAACCCGAGGCTTTGCCAGGGGTTGAACATGGGACGGCTGCACGCTCCAGAAGCACCGTAAGCCTTGTAGGTACATTCCCTCAAGGTGTTCAGTGTAGCGGTCGTGAGACTTGCTAGAGAACAGTGGCCTCAGGCTGGCAGTGTCAGGGCCACAGGGAGCCCTGAGGGATTCCCAGGGACTCTCAGGCTGGCCTCGGCCTGCTTAGGTGCTTCATTTAACAAGACCCCGAGTGGTTTGTGTGGAAACTAAAGTGTGGTGCTAGTCTATTTTCCCCCAGCTGCCCTGGGCAGGTTACCACCTAGAAATCCCTCTCTACAGACAAGACGGAGACTCGGAGTGACACTTCAGACATCAGGGACTTGATTAAATGGATGGAAATTTGAACCATAATCACCTGTTTCGTTTCAGAAAACAATCGCACAGGTCTTGGTGCATCTGCACAGGAGTGACTACGTGGCGGCAGAGAGATGCGTCAGGGAGAGCTACAGGTACCATGGCCACCGGCTGTCTGGCCCGAGCAGACGCCCCTCCTGTCTCTCGTTCAGGAGTGCTACTTAGCATCTCTGCCCAAAGCTGGTTTTGTAGCTGTTGCTGTTATATTCATTTCGTAGTGACAGAGATGCTGGTTCGATTGCCATTTCAGCTTTTACAGTGGGTTCTTCTAAGTCATGGTGTTTGCTGTGTTATTTGAATCGAGAACATCTAGGGGAGTGACTTGAATGGTGTTATGTTTTCCTGCTCAGGAAACAGTGTTCTCAGATCTTGTGTGATCGGATCCTGAGAACAGGGAATCTGTTTGCATTGGGCAGTCTTACTCTTTTTTTTTTATCCTGTTTTTGGGTCGCAGCTGGGTTAGGGCTGACTCCTGGCTTTCAGCTCAGGAATTATTCCTGGCAGTGCTCAGGAGACCATATGGAGTGCCGGGGATAGCACCTGGGTTGGCCGTGGCAAGGCCAGCGCCCTGCCCACTGTCCTGTCACTCCAGTGCAGTCTCAGCCTTGATGCTGGTGACATCTTAGCTGGGTGATTCATTGTCAGGCCTGGCCTGGGCGTCCTGGGGTGGCTGGCTGCCTCGTCCTGCTACCAGCCCTCCTTTGAAACAGTCCTGCCCAGCATCTGCTGGGGGCAGGGCCATCCCCAGTGGCGGCACCTTGGAGGGCAAGTGCAGCTGCCTGACCTGTGTTTGCTGTAGCATCCCAGGGTTCAATGGGAGTGAAGACTGTGCCGCTCTCGAGCAGCTTCTGGAAGGGTATGACCAGCAGGACCAAGACCAGGTCTCGGATGTCTGCAACTCACCTCTCTTCAAGTACATGGACAATGACGTAAGTGACTTTGGCTTAGCTTTTCTCTTTCCACCTACAACTTGGACTATTCTTCCCTCCCCTTTTATTTTTTCACCTCCATCTGCTACACAAAGAGGAACTTTGGCTGAATTCGACTGGATGTCATCCGGGGGGTTTCCAGATACTTCTTTCTCTCCATTTTGGCCTTGTATCAACACTCTGCCCAGGTTTTCCTTTTCTCCTTCTTTCGGGACTTTCCGTTCGTAAGTTCTTCTGAGTTTATCCTGTGACAGAGGCAGTTCAGCCCACTCTTTGCCATCCTGCTTCTGTGACAAGCAGATGCAAGTTTCTGGGTAACTGCCCATCGGCTCGGATGCTTCCTGCGTAAGCGTGGTGTGCCTGTTCCCTCTCCTGCCCAGCCTGTGAGGAAGAATTTGTCAGTGAGGTTGTGGATCACACACAGGAAGTGAGCCAGGGTGCGCCGCATCTCTTCCTTGGTGTTGCTCTTTTACAGGATCTTTTGGGTCCCTGCTGTGGCTTAAACTCATGGTATCATACCAGCGTCAGCACATTTATAAGGACAGATACAGAGAAACAGTTGTTTTCTAGGTAAATTTTTATGTAGGCTTAGAAAACTCGAATATATTTCACTTTCTTTCGCTGCGCCCCTCCTCGCTTTCCCAGCAGATTTTTCTAAGGTCTTTCTGTAATTGGTAACTCCGCATGTCCAGATTCCTTGGGGTGCCTGTGTGGCCTGTAACTATTTCTGTTGGTTGAGTGCCCATCATGTCAGGTTCAGGAGCCCTCAGAAAGCAGAGCAACGGTGAGTTTTAAAGTGTCGCTGTTTCCTTTTCCTCTTTGCAAGGGGATTAGTTTTCCGGAGTTGGCGTCCTAGGACCTGTTTGTTGTAGGTAACTTGTTGAGATTCTGAGTCCCTCGTGGCCCTGCTTTGTCATTGACAGTACGCGAAGCTGGGACTGAGTTTGGTGGTGCCAGGTGGGGGAGTGAAGAAGAAGGCAGCCCCAGCACCGCAGGCCAACAGTGAAGGCGCTGCAGCCGCCCCTGCCGAGGAAGATGAAGATGAATACGCAGGGGGATTGTGCTAGGGTCCTGTTCTGTGGAAATCAACACAGGATCCTGAGGTGCCATTCGTGGACTTGTCTAAGGGCGTCTCTCTGGACTTCATGGCGGTCATGGGTTTGAATGCTAAAAAAGATGGATTTTTAGTTTCCATTTCCTTGTATTCACCCATGGGACCGTCCCCGACCTGTGAAGCATTTTCCCCCTTTCTTGACAGAGGGGGCCTTTTCCGAGACAGCAGACGGAACTGACAGAAAATAATTCCTGATCCATTTGAATTCAGCTGATTTTAAAATTGGCAAGCCAAATTCTATACCTCCTGCATTCTTTAAAAAATATGTATTTCCCCCCTTTAGGGTCTTATAATTTATTGTTAGAGAATTTATTTGCCTTTAATAATTGCTGCTAAAGTGAAGCTAAGCTATGGGTTTAAAAAAAATAGTGTTTACAAAATGGGCTTGATTTGGGTGCCAGAGGGATAGTCCCGGGTGAAAGCATTCGCTTGTCTTGCTTGCAGTTGATTCTGATTCTGTCCTGAACCCAGACCCTCTCGGGACTGATCCTTGAGCACAGAACCAGAAGTAAAACCTGAGCACAGCTCAGTGTGGCTCAAAAACCAAAATCTAATTTTTTTTTATTTGAAAAGACATCCCTGACCCCCACAACCTGCCCCTGGACCAACCCCACACCCCACCCCACGCCTTCATGATAATCAGATTTATTTCAGTTATTGAATCTTTTCAGAGGTGAGATTGGGACAGGACTAGATGCTATTTTGAAACTTTTTCAGTCCAATAAAAGATGCACACAAATCCTATATGTAAGTCTGAAAATTTTGGAGGTGTATAGTAAAGTGCTTGTGTAAATGTCTTCCATTCTCTCAAAAGTAAGGATATTTTTTTCCACACACAAAATAGTCAATGTCTCCAGCTCACATGATTCATGTTAAAAGGGAAAAAAAGAGGACCATTTTCATTTTTATGTATTCTAATGAACAGGTAATGTTTCCATCAGTGAAATATAATATAGTCACATTTTTTTCCTTCAAAATAATTATTTTATTTATTTTGAATTTGTAACTGGATAATAACTTGACCTGCGAAATGCTATATCCTGCAAAAATGTAGCAGAAGGAGAATTGTCTTTGACAGATATGTATATTTGAAATATTGCGCTGTCACAATTTTAATCCTTTTATAGAGCCTTCCTCTGTTTAGGCTGTTAAAAGGCTGTTTACTGAGGTGTTCCTCACATAAGTGTGGCTCCCATAGACTCGCCTCACAGTCTCTGAGTCGGAAAGAGGCATAGCACTGGTGGTGTGCTTTCCACAGTGGCTGCAGCCCAAGTGGCTTCCTGTGGCTTCCTGTGTGTGCACGGCTACCTCTTGGGTATGCAGACTATGCGTGCTTCACTTGGCTAGACTTCCTGCCAACAACACCAAGTAGATCATCATGGGTGCTGTCGGCACAGCCGGTCCCCAAGCAAGCCTGGACAGAGCCTGCATTGGCACACCTGCTTGGCTGGGCCGGTGTTAGGATAGAAATCTTCATTCTGATACATTGCATTTACACTGATACATGGCATTCTTAATAGTTCTGGGGGTGGCACTCGTTTTCAACCATTGTTTGGAGATCAACCGTGAACAATTTCGATATAGCTCGATTTAGGCTTTTGTATTTAGAGACATAATAATGTTTCGGAAATCTCATCATTGCTATTCCGCCTGTGATTCTTTCAGAAACTCTAGGACTCTTGCATTGATTTGGCAGTACTGAAAAGATTTCTTAGACTATTTGCTGTTGTTATCCCCCATTACAGATGTGGACTTTTTTTCTTTTAAACTTTTACTACATATCTGTAAAAAACCCAATAAAGCTGAGTGATTCCGAGCCTTAAACTCCATAAAAGACTTTGTGCAAGTGCAGCCTCTCTCCCTGCTTGCAGGGCCTGTGGGTGTTCACTATCAGGTTATACTATGTCCAGCAAAGAACACTTGCTCCCTGTTTATGCATTTATTTTTCCACTTAAGTCCTTTATCCTGAGAAAGTATTGTCAGAAGTGGAAAACTTGGTGTTTACAACAGGAAAAGTTGTTTTCCAGAACTCGTATTAATCACTTTTACCAAAGTGAAAATCTGCATGAATATGCTCAGAATCTAATATTCAATGTTCTATTATATTGTAAGTGAAGCCAGTCTACAGAATATATTTAATATATTGAATTTATTTGTACATATGCAGAGTAAGGCATTTGTGTATGGACTCTGGGCTTCATTCTTATTTTTTTCCAGCTCTTTTGATGAATAGAATGTTAAATATGTTATAGAAGTGCAGACTGTTGCTTCTATAGGGAGATAATTATGAAAATAAAATGTGAACCTATGTGAATGATTCTTTGTGTTATTTATTTTGCTTTACTTGTTAATTCCTCTTTCCCCAGTGGCATAACTTTTAATTATTTATGAATCAAGGTAGACTGCAGGTCAGAAATCCCTTTGTGATCTATTTTAAACTATTTTAAGTTTTCTTTGTTTAAAAATACCATGGTTTGGGCCTGGGGGACTATTACAGCAGGTAGGTTGTTTGCCTTCCTTGGGCTGCCTGGATCTGATCCCTTGTACCCCATGTGGTCCCCAAGTCCCACTCTGAGTAATCTCTGAGCACAGAGCCAGGAGTAAGCCCTGAGCACTGATGTATGTGACCCCAGAACAACAAAAAAGGTATGAAACATACAATGATGGGAATCATTGTTACCACAGTACACACATACACACACACACACACACACACACACAAATGTGAACCATTGCTGTAGCTTAACTTTCCATTAAAACCCTGTTATATATCCTGTTAACTCTTGAGACACTTTGAGTAGAAGACACATTATAAAAATTGTGTTATTCAGGAATGCTGTTTCACATTAAAGTGCAGGTCCCTAGCACTTAAAGAAGGAAAAAAAAACCACAATGAACTATGCTCTGTTCTGTTGAAACTTAGCGAAATGCACTTAATTGCACATTCAAAACCGCAAAACCACCTCCTTTTTCTGCAGGCTTCTAAGTGGAGGCTGCTCCATGGCCCCAGCGTCATCTGCGTGTTTTCAGTGCTCAGTTCTGAGTTACAGTCGGGAACATTTCTGGGGGAGCCAGGCGTGGGTCACGTGTCTCCGGCAGCCTCACCTTAGGACTGCAAGCCAAGCCTCGGCCTGTATTGTCCCCTGCCTCTTCTGCAGCATCTTTTCCTGCCTCAGGTCTGGGTGCTTAAAGTGATCTACCATTCGCCTCGACTGTAGAATGAAATGGAAAGTTGATCCCAACAGTTTGGGGTTTATCGATGAAAGGATATTCACACAGAGTACCCACATCAAGTAATTCACTTCCGAGCTGAGCGTTGGCTTGAATAAATGAGTGCTGCTATCCCAATCGATTCTCTCTGTAACCGCGAGGAGTTCACAGTGTATGTAGTCAGGATGTGGAGGGCACAGAGAGGAGGTGACGGAGGCTCCACTGTGATATGCCCCTGTGGAGAACCATCCTGGTCTAGCCCGTTATGCTCCCTTCCTCCCCCTGCCCCCTGACAGCTGCAGAAAACAAAATTCTCCCACTCCCCTTGTTCTGATGCTGCAGAGTGCGGGTCAATACTTCTTAACCTTTTTCTGACCATGAGGCCCTTTTGATTCATCCCCTTCTTGTGCCACCTTTATCTTGCCACTTGCCTCCTAATTTCCTACCCCCCCCCCCCCCCCCCCCCCCGCCGCACACACACACAAACACATCTGTGGCCTTTTGGGATGTGCTGGGGGCACTGGTGAGCATCTCCTCCTGCATGTCTTAAAATGTCAGGGTTGACAGCATTTTTGGCTTTACCCATCCTGTTGCCCACGGCTCACCCCTGCCTCCAGCCAAGCGTGGAGGGGTTCACTAGCAGGCTATGTGGGTTTGGGGGTCTGAGAGACAAGCCCCAGCCCAGCATGCTGATCCACAGAGGCTGCAGTCACCAGCCCATGTCGAGAAGGACGTTGTGGAAGTTGGTCAGAAGGTAGCCACTCCTATTCAGATTCTTCCCTTTAAATTTTCTCACCTCTTGATTTTACCAAAATTTACATTTGTAAGCTTTACCTCTTATGTAAACTCCAAAGTAGCACAGAATTTTTTTAAATGTTATTAATGACAGAGAAAATGATTGTTACCACAATGAGACCCAAGTACATATTAAAATTTTATGCAATGTATTATTAATGCAGAATAGAAAATGTATTTGTGCAATGGAGAGGAGGCATATTGAATGAAATAATTTGCATTTGTATATAGGTTAAAATCATGTAGCAGTCATCAGAAATTGACTTTCATTGATTCATTTTCTTCTAATTCTGTTTGCTATCCCTTTAAGTTTTGTTGGAGCCCACAAACTAAATTTGTGATGGGCCTGCTAAGGGGGCAGATTAGGGTGTGGGAAGGAAATTGGGCATGTTGGTGGGGCTCTTCCCCACCTCCAGCCCCACAGGCCGGAGCCCAAGCGCCGCTGCAGGCTGCTGGCCAAGACTCAAGAGCACGTGGGAAACGGGCCCTGCAGGGAATAGATTTTGAGCAGAGAGCCTCTTCTGATTTCTGAGAAAGAAAAACCTCCTCTCATTGTGCCCCAGACCCCAAAACTCAGACTTGGCTGGAACATTGCATGCCTGAAGCAACTCAGTAACAAGCTTATAAATTTACAAACAAGCTTTTAAATCACCAATGTATCATTTTTTGGATTTTTAATTAAAAGTTGTTTTTATTATTGAATCACCATGAGATACACAGTTACAAAGTTGCCTATGATTGGGTTTCAGTAATACAATGTTTTGACTGCCTTCCTTTCATCAGTGCACATTTCCTGCCACCACTGTCCTCAGTTTCCCTCCAGGCACCCATCCCAGCCTGTCTTGCCTTACCTCTCTTTTGCTCTCTTACTCTCTCCTTTGTAAAAAAAAAAAATTTTAAGACTGCAAAGAACAACAACAAAAATTACGGAGAAACTTAAGGAAACAAAGTGGGTCCCTAGCATTGTACTGGGGAACGGAAGGCCTGCTGGGAGGGGTCAGCTTCCTAAGGGAACATCTTTAATGTCTTGGGCCACTGCTGTTGCCGTTTTGTTTGGCTCCTTGGGTTTCGGATTTCTGTATTTCCTCGTGATGCTCAGTTGCCCCTCACAGTTCTATGCTCAAGCGTTTTCTCCCAGTGATGCTTAGGGAACCTGAAGTTCTGGGGATCAAGAACCTGCATGCGAATGTGCCTTGCCCATTGAGCTGTCTCTCCGGCCCTGTTTGTTTCATTCTTGGGGCAAAGTGTGGGATCAGGGGCTTCACATATGTGAGATGTGTTCTACCGCAAAGCCACCTACATCCCTGGCACTATTTGGGAATCACTCATTTTAGGCTTGATCAAGGAGAGCTGCAGCTTCTTCGGGGTTATGGCAGTAGAATCTTTTTAAGCCGCCAGGTGGCGCAGCTGAGTAAGTTTCTGCCTTCCTGGCAGAAGCAAAGTGGCTGGTGAGGGAGCGCGGGAGTGAGTAGGAATGAGCACCTTACTGCTGATGGAGACAGCGAGAAACGAGCCTAGGTGAGAGCATCAACACCTGCCAGCAGGTGAAAATGACACGGCGGCGAATCATACAAATATGTGTGTGCCCACACGTGCGCACAGATGCCCGGCTGCAATTCCTTCCCACCCCCAGCCAAGGCGGCAGTAATGTAGTGGACAGGACCTAGACTGGACCTTGCAGTGCCCGGCCCTCAGCAGCTGCAGCACACTGGGGCAGAGGGGAGGAGGGCGGCGGTTCCAGGACAGAATGTGCCCGCTCGTCTGTCGTCTCTGAGCACCTCTGGCTCCGCTCCGGCAGGTGCTTGAGAAGGCTTGGAGCCACACCCGGGGCAGGGAATCGGGTCTCTTTGTGCCAGATCTGGGAGTCCTGCATCCTCTGTCTTGCTCCACGTCACCAAATCAAGGCGGTGGGGCTCTGGCTAAGTGTTGCCCATGCACTTAAGATGAAAATGAGCTCAAACAACAACAACAACAAAAAATTGGTTCTTCTGTCCCATGCCTCATACCCCAAATGCCTTGCAAGCCCTGGAAGTACAGGACCTCCATATAGGGCTGATATAGGCAGGTACACTGGGAAGGGCCCCCGTGGCAGTGGAATTCCTGGGAAGTAAAAGGTAAAGGTAAAGGCCTCCCGTTGATCGTCGATTTTTCTCGAGCGGGCCCAGTAACGTCTCCATTGGAGACTTTGTTGTTACTGTGTTTGGCATATCGAAGTCGCGGGGAGCTTGCCAGGCCCTGCTGGGTGGGCGAGATACTCTCGGTAGCTTGCCGGGCTCTCCGAGAGGGGCGGAGGAATCGAACTCGGATCGGCCATGTTGGCCGCTTGTAAGGCGGACACCCTACCCGCTGTGCTATCGCTCCAGCCCTCCTGGGAAGTAATAGAACCAATAGCCCAAGGCTGCAAAGAGCCCACCCACCTTGTAAGCTCAGGCCTGATAGGGCTGCACTCAGTGTAGACAGACCCAGAACAGGCTAGAACCCACTCTGAGAGAAGATCCTGCAGGAATAAAGGCCAGGAAAAGAATTCCAAAGGAGTCCCTGGACCATTCCCAACTCTACTCCCTTGGCAACTACTCTTAACAATGGACTCTTACCTGACTCTTACCTAGATAGAAGACCCACATCCCTCAGCTAGAGAAAAACCGTATAAAAGCCAACTTGAACAAAGGAAGTGTGCATATACTTCACGAATCCACATGCCACTTCTTGTGCCCACATGTGTCATCTGCATCTCCCCTCTTGTGACGTGTACTAAGGCTCTCTGTGCCGTCGAAGAAGCCCACATTCTCTCTTGAGCACGCTGTGCTCTCCCTTTGCTTTCCCTCCTTTCCCTTCCTAAAAGCCTCCAAATAAAATCTTTTTACTGGACTTTAGTGAGAGTACAGTGGGTAGGGCATTTGCCTTTCACACAGGTGACCTGGGTTCAACCTCCAGTATCTATATGGTCCCCCAAGCACTGCCAGAAGTGATTCTTGAGTAGAGAGCCAGGAGGAGCCACTGAGCATCACTGGGTGTGACACAAAGAGCAAAATAAATAAAAATCTGTCTTTCTTTCACTGCTTGTCTACTCCTGAAGTTCCTTTCTGTGAGATAGGACAAAGATCTGAAAACCCTGGATAAGGCCCAGGACTAACTTTCCTTTCCAGCCAAGAACAGTTTCTCACTTAACTGTGGCTCCCTGAGAAATCAGGTGGCAGGGATCAACTCCCAAGCTGAAAAGAACAAGCGGCTGTCAGGTGTGGCTTGATGCCACCTGCCGGGGTTGGCAACGCTCTGGCCCTGGGTTGTGCAGGGGCTTATCACAGACTT